TTGATGCGAGCTCATTTTGGTTTACCAAGTGTTGAAGGTGAAGACTCTGAAGGTAGACCTCCAATTCAAGTGAAATTTGAAATTCCATATTTCACAACATCTGGAATACAGGTATGAAATTTGATGTATCTTATTTGTTATATGTCTTTATTCAAAGTATGACATGCTTTAAAATAAGTGACCTATTTCATAAAGGAAGTAAATAAAAATATACTGAATATGATCCTAATATTCTCATGTATTTTGTTCTGTGATAGCATATCAGAATAATTTTTTTTTGCTGTGATAATATAAGGTGTTTTGTTCAAGGTGCGGTATTTGAAAATCATTGAAAAGAGTGGGTATCAGGCCCTACCTTGGGTACGGTACATCACTCAAAATGGTGACTATCAGCTACGCACAAACTAGATGAAACATTCCATTGTGGTGTAAGTTCAGACATGTTGGTGCTGTGTGGAGTATGTGAGTAAATAGTGTAAGAAATAAATGTCTTTTACTGGAGAATTCTTTATTTTGAAAGTAATATACAGCTGAATATTACGTCCTGTTGAATATCAGTAAGAATGTTTCTCATTTGTTTCATTTTTGAGTGATGAGGTAAGTGTTTCATTCCTTTGACTTGTGGATCATATTTTATCACAGGTGATGGAGCATGTTACAACTGGAATCAAAATTGAAATAAAAAGTTAAGTTTTCCAAAAACAAAATGTCATGTAGTTGGCTGGTTGAAAGACATGTATTAATTGAAGCAAAATGGCAGTTTCTAATGTGAAAACATATCAGAGTTTCTGGTGTCGATATTATTCATATATAAATCTCCCCAATTAAACCATTGATTATTTCTTACTCAAATATTTTCTAGCCATGTTATACTCCATTAGTTTCCTTTAAAATTTCACACATTGGATTACAAAAACTGGAGGAGAAAACATTTTCAGTGGTAATTGTGTTTATGTAGGAAAGAAAGGGAAAATGTGTCTGTGTAACATTCACTGAGTATGTGCTCTGTTTATTCATGTACAGGGTCTTTCTAAAAATATGACTCAGTTTTAATTGCATATAATTAACTACATAGCATACATTGCTGTATTTGGTGTATCTGAGTTCAGTAGTCTTGGATCAATGGCTGCCCTTGGCATTATCATGAAGTAGTAATGGTCAAGATGGTGTACGTAATAAAACAACACATATTTTTAGTGAAGAGAGTTTATTTATTAACTGAAATTAAAACTGGGATGTCTTTTTAGAAAGATCCTGTTCCATTTCTACTTGACAGTAGTGACTTTTTGCATTTTTACTAAATTGAGAACCTATCAGAATATAGGTGAGCATGAATTTGTAAAATATATATATATATATAAAATAAAAAAAGGAAAGTAAAAGAAGAAATGTAAGACTTGAGGTTCTCACAGCGGTGAGTATGAAGATATCCGTCTTCTGGGTTATTGCGCTGTGTAGTCTGGTCGATGTTAACCAACGTTTCAGAGGTCATACTGCCTCCGTCATCAGGGCGATGACTACTATACTACTAATAATACTATTCTTTTACGTCCCACAGATGGATGGTGTGGTAATGCCTTTTTATTCTGGGACTTTCACTTTTTAATTTGTCCGGAGATAGGGATTAGCTCTATCTAGTGGGCCCAACTGAGTAGGAACCTGAAGACGGAGATAGAGCCCCATCTCCGAAACGTCGTTTTACGTTTTTTACGTTTTATTACTAGACGATGGATAATATCCAAGTAAATTTTTATTCAATTGACTCTTCACCATCGTCAAGAAGTTTTAGATTTGACATGTCAATGATGTTTCTTCTTACCCAAGAACACTGCACTTATGCTCACTCTTCTCATCTTATCTGTGATGTGTTCCCAGGACCTGTGAATAATTTCCTTGGGGTTTATTTGAAGGAAATACTGTAAATAACTGACACCTCCAGAAGACCTGCAATTATGTATACAAGATAGTAAGATATGAAGTTCTTACAGTGGTGAGTACAAAGATCACTGCCTTCTTTCTGGGTTGTAGATGATGGAGGCTTGCTACCAGACTACATGTCGCTACAACTCTGAAGACAGCCGTCTTCTTACTCACTGCTATGAGAACCTCTAGTCCTGCTATGTACACGACTACTGCTGTATGAACTTAAATAATTTAGAATGTGTACAAGAAAATTATTTGAGCATCTTTTTGAGTCTAGAAGTATTAGTTGTATTATGGTTCGTGGTGTACTTCTCTGACACTGTGAATTATTAAAGTTTGTTTTCGTTACTTTGCCTAAAGTACAGTGTAAGGCAGAAAACTGACGTGGTTGTATATAGAAAATCGCAGATCACAACACAAAGATCCTATCTTTTGTTTAGAGATTAGTGTGGCTGCAATTTATATATTTTTGAATGTATATTTTATTGCTACATTTCATAATTACATGTTTAAAATATACTATAACAATACACAAAGAGTTCAACAAATCAGATTCATTTGAATGTATATTGTAATTTTTTTAATTTGTGTTAATATCATGCAAAGACAAGCAAAAATACATTCACATTCAGGAACATACAAATATAATTATATTTTTATTAAGTAGTCAAAATGTATAAAACAAAGAAGAAAAACTGTTTTATATGTTATAGATAATTTATGGCAGACCAAAGGCTAACTAAATACAACATTTAACAACAGGAAAGCAGACAATTTTTCCATCCATTATCCGTATTGTTATATTCTGCTGTGTGAAAAATGGAAAGCATATTTTCTTCCGTAGATCACCTCTCATGTTATATACAATTATTTATCATTTATCCTACAGTAAACATCCCTTACAATTCATTTGGATGTGTTGCAACATAAATAAATAAATATACTAATAAATACATAGTGTAAATAAATTACATCTTAAGCTATATATGACTGAAGAACTGACAGCAATTATAACATAGAAACAAACTTGTTTCATTCATTGGTAATAACATTACATTAATAGTAGTAATGATAAAAATATGAGCTTTTCATCAATGTTTTGGCCTTACAGCAGGCAGTCTGCCCTCTTTGATCATTTACAGTTATTTAATATATTTCTGTCTGCTGTAAGCAATGCAATTCCTGCATCCAAAAATTCAAATTGTGAATGTTTTGCATTTAGAAACACAGAATAGGAAATGATTTTCTTACAAGAGAAATGCATCAACCAAATCAAGGTACAAGAATGCTCCATGTTCAAAACTGAACATTTGTATTCTTTGTATGAAAATCTCCAAATTCCTCATTGTATGACTCACTCTTATCATTAAAATTAGTATACATCAGTAATAAAGGTGATAATTGTTAACATGGCTTAAAGACCTAGCTGCTGAAACATCTAAAAATGCTGTGCATGGGAGAATTCAGATTATGAGGGCCTTGACATCTTTGTATTTAGAACCACAGTCAATGAAATTTATATACTTTAAGTAGCTGCAAAATAATTCTGAGTCTGGATGACCATTGCAAATACAAACGTGGGAGGTAGAGGATGACTGCAAAGTGATAGCAAATGTGGAGAGGTAACTGAGTCCTTCTCTGTATACTATCAGATGTGAAATTATTACATTTAGTAGTACATGCAGGTTAATGCGTGTGCCTGCATTGCTAGAGTTTTACAGTTCATTTGGTTCACAAATTACAGTGTAGTATAAAATTCAGCGTGTCATTATGCCACTGATTGTGTAAAAATTAAAAGAGGAAATTTTTTTCAATTCAACTTTTCATGCTCAGACTGACTGCTGTCGTGCTCCGTTTTGCCCTTTCCATCTTCCCCTCTTTCAGTGACATAGCTGAAGCCAGAGTAATTCTGCATCCACTGTAACGTTGGATATTAGGTAATTTTCACAACTACGATGCATCATTCTGTCGTGGTAAATGCTTAATGAGTTAATGAAACTAAGTAATTC